AAAACTCGTATGTGTTAAGATACTATACTTGAGACGGTTTTAAATATGAGAACCAACTTTAATATGAATACCTAAAAGATCAAACTTCCTATGGACGTTTAGATATCCAGCCACTGATTCCAAGTCAAACATATGTCGTCCATTTCATGTCCATGGACGTGCGGACATAAAAGGGATACAAAATGAATGTTCATAAAACGTTCTGAGCTATCTGGGATAATAAATGTACGATATGATATGTAATATAATTTAGTTGCATAAAATGATTTGAATGGTAATATCAAAGATGAAAAAGAAAAACTATCTTTTTCTTCTTTGAGAAAAGAGATAATCATTAAAATAATAATCAGTATGCAAATACGATTTCTTGCATGCGTTGTGTATTTTGAATCTTAATATTGCACAATAAATTTTGTTTAATTCATTTAATGTAACATTCAAATTAAATTCATGATATGTTGAGTTCGGTTTCACAATTCACGGTTAACTCGATTTAATCAAAGTTCAATTTCGCTTTATCTTTTCATAATCTAAGAATTAGAAAGAGAAACAGTAAGCTAAATCGAGATTAAAGTTAATTTTATATTTGTGGAATCGGGTCCTTATTGTTTTCTTTATTCGGTTTACCAGCGCCAAATTTTTTTACATAAATTTTATTTAAATTCTGTTTTGTACTATTACTTTAATTTTATACAATGAAAATTTTCATTTCATCGAGAATATATATAATAATATATATAGTAAATATACATACACTCGGGTAAAGTATGCATTTTTATAATAATTTGCGCTATTTATGGATATTGTAGTAAGTCAAATTCAAAATTAGGATTCAGAATAATTGTACATTTATTATATATTTCGGGGAATCGGTATATTTTAATCTGTATTGGTTCGTGCTCGATCGCAAAGACTGATTTCTGGGTTTGTTGTTAGACCACCGAAAAATCAAGAAATTAACAAATTCATAGCGATTAATCGATCATTACACGATATACACAAGAGAACATTTCTCTTATATCAAATCTTTAATATACAAATGACGTGGTACTTGGGTTAAGGAAGCGCAACTTTTTTTAATTGAAGACTATCATCTGAGTTTTATTTTTTAATTTAATACAATAATTTTATGAAAGAACGACTTAGGTTTTATTTCTTAAAATTTAAATTAAAGTTTGGTAAATATTTAGGTCTTACTTTTTAACTTAATACAACAGTTTTTTTTTCAACGAGCGCATATACTTTGGCGCTTTTTTTATATGCCTAGACTTAACACTAGTAGAATTGTAACAATTACACAGAAAGGTAACCAAGTCTTAAGAAAGCCGAATATACTGAAATGAATACAACATATTAATAAGTATTATCGATAATAGAAAGGAAAATATATATATAATTGATATTTTTACACAATTTTTTTTTTACCTGACGTACTTGCTATGAAGCAACATGAGAAATGCAAGTTTTACCATATTCCAACTGTTTGAGTCATCATATGACATTAAGTTCAAAGCTCTTGCCACATGTGAATGGCAATTGTCGCAGCATAAATTATGCTGTAAGAAAGTAAATTTTGCAGTCATCGAGTATAAAAACTTTTTATCCTCTGAATTCCTTTTATTACCATTCTGGTTTTGTAAATTTCACTGGCTTCCGCTACGCCAGCATCCCATCCTTGTACGCCTCCCTTGGCTTTCGTATAATCCAGCTGCCAATATTTGGTAGGCTTACCAAATGCCATGTTGTCTTCAGAAACATAATAATGACCAGCGAAATCTCTTATTACTCCCGTTGACGTCGCAATGCCCATGTGTCCGATAAAAGGGAGAATGAATCTTGAAAAGTAAACATCTATGTCATTTATATACTACATACAACTTATTCAGCGTGATTAATCTTGACTTAAGAGAGGAGTTCGTACATTTCATGAATTATTTTTATATTTCATAGTAACTGTCAATGTACAATAAGTATATTTTCAGTTTGACAAATATCAAATATATAGAATCAGAGATGAGGTTATGGCTAGAATAATTTAATCGAGAACTTACGTTAGAATGGGCAATGGAGTCCAAACGATGCAAAAAGGAAATTTTTGTCTTTCCGGATGGACGCTCAAATCCATCTCGGGCAAGTCATTTGGTACCTCTGGAATATCTGTCAACAGATCAGGATCTCTCATAACTCGCTGCTAGTGTAGGCGTGTAGCGCGTCTCTTTAAACTCGCTTCTCGCTTGTATACATACTCCCTCTATTCGATAGTTTCGATCACGAAGTTAAGAGTAGAGGCACCGACGAGATACTCTTAAAGACCGACACCCTTAATTGCGGGACTTAGCGTGGCATGTTTAATAATTGCTAAAATTTAAGCAACTAGTCAATAATATAACATTAATTTTATGATTTATTAATAGATCAATGTTTTTTTAGACATGTACATTGTAATTCATATATTGTTGAGTTTTTCTTCGTAAATAAAAGCACGGGAGAGAAACCTTTTATATGAATTATTTTTATGTATTACACAAAATGAGAAGAAGAAGGAATTAAGTGACAAAAGAATAATCGTATTAGACAAACGCGAATCGACATCCGCAATCAGTAGCGCCATCAATCCTAGAGTCCCTCTAGTGACTAGAGGGACTCTAATCAATCCGATTTATTAGCGCCACCTTTATATGATAATTATAGTAACATATTCTTTATAAATAGTGAAGTAACTAAGATACCAAGATTAGATTAAGCGCCTCGAGATCACTTTATCCAACACATATGTATTATAGTTAATACATAATTATAAATGTACATACACTAATCTCTAATACTTTAGTATTCATCAATATGACTGTCAATACTCGGGTATTCATCAATATTTAACTATTATCTCAAATATAAGTATGGATATATACTAATTTCTAATAATTATAAGTATTCACTATAGTGAAATGTATAAATCAATATTTAACTATTATCTCAAATATGAGATTGAGATGATAAAGTACATACGCATAGGATTACATTATCGTAATTCGAGAAGGTAGGACATTATCATATAATTTGAATAGGGTAGAATATTAAATCGTAGAATTACTACAATATTTAGTAATTAAAAAGATAAGAATATGATTATA